CAGGTGACAGCAGAGAGCTCCTCACTGTCGAGTCCAAGTGGACTTTCCAGGCCTCCCTCCCTGGGCTCTCCTGCTACATTTCCAGCATGGATGCCGCCTCCTTCCTGGAGCCCCTGTTCCTCCAGCCACAGCATGGTCTCCTTAGATCGTCCCGCCTGCGCCTCTTCTCTCACGGGTTACATGTCACCTTACTGCGTCTTTACCTCTGGACTCTCACTAGACTCAGCTCCACGTCCCTCCTGGTCACGGAAACCTGCACTGCAGTGGCATGTGACTATCTGTAACATCCCAAATCATCCCTGAGTGACAACACTGTGTTGACATTTCACACAGATTAACTCAATCTTCATGACTCTATGAAATAAAAACTACAATCTTCATTTCATAGATGAGGAAATGGATCAGAATATAAGCCCCATGAGGACAGCCCTAAGACATATTCTGATATTATACAACATTGCTGAGAGAAATTAAAGATCCAAATAAATGGAGAAGCATTCCATGTTTACAGATTGGAATACCGAATACTATTAAGATGGCAGTTCTTCCTCGACTCATCTACAGATTCAAAACATTCCCTATCGAAATCCCAACAGGCCTTTTTGCAAAAACTAACAAGCAGACCTTGTAAGTTATACAGAAATGCAGAGGACCCAGATTAGCCAAAATAATGTGAAAAAGAGTGAAGAATGCATACATCCCAATTTCAAAATTTAAATAACTCTTACATAAATTTCAGTTAATTTCTGACAGAGGCACAGTGGGGGAAAAGCAGTCCTTTTAACACATGGTACAAAGATCATTGAATATCCATAGGAATCCAGATCCTTACCTCACATCATATATAAAAAGTAATTCAAAACACTCATAGGTCCAAATTTCAGAGCTAAAATTATAAAACTTCCAGAACAAAACAGGAGACAATCTTTGTGACCTTGAGTTAGGCAGAGAGATACAGTACTAAAAAGCATGACCTGTATAAGGAAACTAATAAATTGAGCTTCATTAAAATTAAAAAGAAGTGCACTTCTAAAGACACCATTAGGAAAAGATAAGCCACAGACTGGGAAAAAATATTTGCAAATCATGTCTTAAAATGACTTGTATACAGAACATAATAAGAACTCCTACTATTTAGTAAGAAAACCCAATTGAAAAGTGAGCAAAAGATTTAAACAGACATTTCACCAAAGACAATATATAAATGGCCCATAAACACGGGAAAAATGCCCAACATCATTAGTTATCAAGGAAATGTAAACCAAAGCCTCAATGAGCTACCACTTCACTATAATTTAAAAAGACACATAATCACAAGTGTTGATGAGGATGTGGCAATATCAGAACCCTCCCACATTGCTGGTGGAAATGTAAAATGGTCCAGCTTCTTTGGAAAACAGTCTGGCAATTTCTTACAAAGTTAAACATGTCTGCACAAAGGCTTGTATATAAACTGTCACGGCAGCAGGAAAACAACCTACATGTCTACCAACTGGTGAATGAATAAACAAAATCGACACAGCCATACAATGGAATAGCACTCGGCAGTAAAAAGGAAAGCAATTACTGACAGATGCTGGGACACGGAGGAACTTCCAAACACTGCTGAGTGAAAAGAAGCCAGACTCAAAAGACCACATCTGATTCCATTTATAGGAAATGTTCAGAAATGGCAAAGCTGAAAGCCAAAGCGGATCAGTTGTGTGGGAATGGAAGCAGAAATGGGGTTTAACTGCAAACAGGCAAAAGATATCTTTTTGAGTTGTTTGAACGCTGGTTGTGATAGATGCACAACTCTAAAACTTACTAAAAATCATCCAGGTATTAACCTAAAATGGATAAATGTTGTGGCAGGTCAATTATACCTCCTTAAAACTGTTAGGGGAGAGAGGGAGGCACAGGCTCTGGATTCCGAGTGCCTGGGTCCCAGTTCCAGCCCTATTACTTACCCACTGTGTCGCTTGGAGAAAGCTAAACTTTGGGCCTTATTCTTCTCGTCTGTAAACTGGGAGGTGCAGTAGAACATACTTTGTCATTTTTGTGAGGATTAAATCAGTAACATGCCTAGCAGAATGCCAAGCACAGAGTGAGCATTCAGGAGGTGCTAGCTGTCCTCATTCCAGTCATTTGGATCACACCCGTCCTGCTGTCTTGCCAGTTTCCCGTGCTGATTAGTTCTCCATCACCTTTTCTTCATACCTTCTTCCCTTGCCTTAAGCTCTGGGCCACCTTTAAGATGAAAGGCTTGTCCTGTCTCCCTCACTGCCCCCAGGGCTGTTCCCTCACATCTCACCTCCAGAGCACAGAGGGACCACACCAGGCCATAACCACCTACAGGATCAAGTTCAATTGCACACAACGCTCTGCACCATCTTGTCTCTGTGGAGCCCCTCACCCTGTCCAGCCCCATGCCTACCCCACATCCACATCCCACGCAGCTGCTCTTGCCGTCCGTCCCCTCTGCAGAATGCCCTGTCTCCTTCCCTCGTCTTTCTATATGCTTGTCCTTTCAGGCTCGGCTGAGGCAAAGCCTTCATAAGACTTCCCTGAAGCTCTTGGGCTGGGACCGCTATTTGGCCCTTATATGTATGTGTCAATAACATGCCTATAATATCCTGTGCCTACACCTCCAACACTGACTGAGAGAAAGATTACGAAACACATCTCACATCTGGAAGCATGAACCTAGCGTGGTCCCTAGTACAATGCAGGTGCCCTACAGTGTTGGCTGGCCGAATGAAGGAGCAGACATGCGGCACTTTCTCGGCTCCTCAAATACTGAAAATGCTCACAGACTTCCAAACAGCTTAGGACTTTGTCTAGGAAAAGAGAAGTCTTAGGGAGGCTCTCCATTGAGGACCACTGTAAGCAGCACCTGAGCGGAGGGACAGGGCCTGCCATCTTCCGTTTGAAGCTGTACTGTCAGTAGTTCATGCACATTCGCAGAGATGGCTGGTAATGTTAATTGTGCTGGTGGAATTTTTCCTAACTTGTCCAGCATCTGAGTTTCTAAACTCTGAAAGTCTTGGTTTAAGAATCTTTGAGATATCTCATAGTGGGAATATAAGACCATCAACTTTAGGGGGATTCCTTTTCAAAAAAAAAAGAGCTTAATGATTGAACTTTAAATTATGGGGGAAAACACGATAATCTGATGTCTGGGTTCCATCCAAGATACTGATTTAAGTAGTCTGGGATGTAACTCACACAAAAGATTTTTTTAAAGTTCATCTGATAATTCTAAAGAATTATAAAGAATACCAGATAATTCTAAAGAGCCAGCAAGGGTCAAGATCTGCCCTTTTATGAGTTCCTCTGTCAGTTTTCTCACATAGAAATGGTAGCAGTTATGCTTAGATTTATGGATAACTGAAAATCCTTCTGAAAATACAATGCACAAATGTTCATCAGATTCCTTTTTCCTATTCTCATGACTCTGGATCATCTTAAAAGTAAGGTTTGGGCTGGGCACAGTGGCTCACACCTGTAATCCCAGCACTTTGGCAGATCAAGGCTGGTGGCTCACTTAAGGTCAGGCGTTTGAGACCAGCCTGGCCAACATAGTGAAACCCCTTCTCTACTAAAAATACAGAAAAAAAAAATCAGCCGGGTGTGGTGGTGGGCACCTATAACCCCAGCTACATGGGAGGCTGAGGCAGGAGAATCGCTTGAACTTGGGAGGCAGGTGTTGCAGTGAGCTGAGATCTCACTGCTGCACTCCAGCCTGGGTGACAGGGTGAAACTCCATCTCAAAAAAAAAAAAAAGTAAAATTTGACTTCTTAAAATCCACTTGGCCAGTAAGCATTAATACTCACATTCGATACAGACATTGAAAATCCATTAAAGAACAATTTAAAATAAAAGACAAAAAATAAAAGAAATTCTAAAGCAATAATCTTAAAACTCACAATCAAGTGCCTACTAAGATAGAGGACTAATTCCAAAAGGTAGGCAAGAATGCTCTTAAGTCCAGAAGATGAAGCTGTTGGTCCTCTGTGAAGAAAGCCCTACTCAGAGACATGGCATGATTTTCTCTCACGACAGTGGAGAGAAAGGGGTTTCAGCGCAGTGCTGACCAGGTGCAGTTCTTGTGCCCGCACCCTAATGGAACCGAAGGCAGAGACCCCAGGTGACCGAAACGATGAACGTCTACTTGAAAGTCCCACTGAGCAGGGCGGAATTTAGTACTAGAATCTTCTTAAAATGGAAAAAAAAAGTTGAAACAATTGCATCCCATAAACATCTATTTTTCTTCTCCAGAGATGTCCTCTTGGTGTAAGCACTTCATTCTTTCAATGAAGGAGTCTGCCATTAATACTGCTACCTGAATTTACATGTATCTCCCAGCTTTAAAAAGCTGTTCAGTCCAATTTTTAAAAATCCTATTAATAAACATATGAAAAAGTCAAAATTTTAAAACTTTTGAGGTTTTAGGTCTAGTTTCTTTAACTTCTCAGACTAAATATTTTATGAAATAGAAAGTATACCAAAGCACTTACTACGGCAAATTTGCCATAAAGAAAAGACTTAATGGCAAAATACACCAGGTACATACAGTCAGAGTAAAATCAGTCTCTACACTACAAAAATCCATACTAAATGGGTTTTTCATAAATATACTTTACCAATCTCATTATCTTTTATCATAATTTCATTCTCTCTCATTAAAAAATTTGAAAAAGTAAAACAGTATGGTGGCAAGATAATTCCAAACTACATTTTCCTACTTAAAAAACAGAGAGCTACAGTTTGTAATGAGGAAGACTAGAAATACTTCCTTATTGCTATTAACAACGTCATATAAAATAAAATAAGGAAAGATTATGTAGCTGCAAAGATAGTCTCACTGAAAATGAGTAATGCATTTCACATAGAACTGTGACATATATGAGGTAAGGTAGGTGAATACTGGGAACAGCTACTCAATTAGAAGAGAATTAGCCTTCCTTCCAAGCAGCAGGGGCGCACCATTTTTGATATGAAAAAAATGCACATAAAAGACACAAAACAAAATATACTTATTACTTTTAGCATGTTAAAAAACAATCACGTCAAAAAAAGTATACAGATTAAAAAAAGTCATAAATGACATTAAGAAAATAGTGCTTGTGTGTATATATATATTTTTGCATATATATATATATATATATATATATAAATCTACAGTATTTACCACTGTTGATATATATATTTTGGAGCAGCTCACATACTGCTATCATAAACTAAATTGTACAGCTTGGTTTATTAAAGTCACAAAATCATGGTTTTAAAATGGGAATTAATATCCTCAGCTACACACTTATATACATTTATTTCTCAGCTTCCACCTGATCTGAATCAAGAGCCCGAATTTCATCAGAATTTTGTGTTTCAATGTTGTGTTTAGCTTTAATACACTGCATTTTTTTGCTATTTAATAATATTACCAAGTTGATTAAAATTATATTACTCATTATATACATAAAAAATAGTCACATTTACTAGCTAAACAAATGTTACTTTCATTTTAAAAGACATACTTTTTGTACCTTGAAAGCTTAAAGCCCCACCTTGCAACAGGAAGAACCATCAGTGTTAGGTTTTTACTACTCAAATATAAGCAACGTTGAAAGCAGGCTCCCCAGTTAACACGAAGTCACACTCCCTTGGAGTGCCCAAAACTTTATCAATGTTTTGGAACTGTAGTGCAACAGAGTATTTTTTAAAGACATCACTAATTTTTTTTAAAAATCAGGAACTTGAATTTGTTTCAATGAAAAAGAAAAAAGATTTTCAACAGCATGAAATCACACTATATTTTTAAAAAAGATCAAAATCCTAGACTCCCATGAAGAACTAGGATAGTTTTTACAATATGAACATGGATAATGTAATGGCCTGATGAGGTGCAGCAATATCCACTGACTACATTCCATAAATAGGCCAGAAATAGACGGTGTAAGTGCCCACCCTGGGCCCTCCATGGGGAGAAGCTCCATGAGTCTGGGCAGAAGTGAGGAGTAACCACACTGCTGACCCAGGCAGTTCTGCTGCCCACATGAGTACTGTGAGCACTGAGGGATCAGTAAGCAGCAGCTTCCCCTGCTCTGAGGTTTGCAAGTCAGACCAGAACAAAGGGCATCAATGCACTAAGACCGATCTCTTATTAGTGGATGTAAGCACTGCTGCACCTTTGGCAGTAAACTTATTTTAACTGCCCCGATTTTTAAGCACCATTAAGTGGTTAGCCTTTCTCCCCAATGTCTTTAATTTTCAGATTGAAAGAAAATGGCAGCAGCTGAAGGAGAATGACGAGCATTCGGTGAGAATGCAATTAATAAAGTCAGGACAAACTCTTCAGTTAAAATATGAGAGGGAAAAGAAAAACTGGACTAAAAAAAAGAATTACATATTATTCCATGGATCTGGATTAAAAGTAGTTTTTTAAAAACATTTAATTCTGTGTTCAAACGTGTATGCATAGATGCCTCTATTAAAAGACACATACACTACATATAGCGTTAAAAATATCTATTCTACAGTTTTTTCGGTAATTTGTAACATTAGTCAAAACAGAATGAGCCAACAGAGTAAAAATGTTCAGGTTCTGGAGAAAGACATAAACGGAACTGAGTAATAAATTACCATTGCGCGTGCATCCCTAAATGCTATTGCTATGTTTCCGGGTTAAATTCTAACAGGTCAGTGATGATGCAATTTAAATGCTCATCTTAAGCAGCGTCTGAGTGGTGATGAAGACATTTCCCTGTATTCCTCCTCCTAACAGATACTAGAGATGTGCGAGTTGCTTACAATAGTATAAAATACTGCTTTGGCAATTATGAACATAGCAACGTAGGTTTCATGTGGTTTCCTTCTCTTCTCTTTAGCAGGTCAGTACACTTCAACTCTCACAGCAACACTGATTCTTGCATGGAAAGCCCTTCCCGATTCCTGTAGTGGTAGGCTGGAGGCTGGGGCCCTGAATACAGATACCCAGATGGACTGGCATCTTCTGCGGCCGGTGAAGCTTTATACCGCACGGGACTACCTACAGAGATGGCTGGGAGGCCACGGTCCTGAAAGGGTGCGTGTTGAAAGGCTGCGTAGTTTGGTAAATTGCCGCGGCTAGCATCTCGGGTCCATGATTGTGCATGCATTTCAGGTCTGTATGTATAACTAACTTCTGACCATGTTCTGTTGTCTGGCAAATAATCCACTGGCGGAATGATAACTCTTCCATTCTTTGGTGACCCTGAATTGCCCGAAAACCCCCCAGCACCAGCATCAACAGGGAGGACTTCTATTCGACTAGATGGCAGTACAAGGGGGCTTGGACGGCTGTAAGACTTCTCTGGAGTAGCACTGATGGAAAGGGTAGAACCGTGAGGTCTCCTGGAAGGATTCAGTTGCGTCCCAGGGCTAAACTGTGGAGAAGCAAAGCTGCTGCTGGCAGGAGGGAAGTGTTTCGGAGAGTTTCCGTGGTAAACGGGGGGACTGCTATAAGAGGGGGGATGAGTTGGCCCTCGGGCTTCTCCATCCAGCTGGGACGGATATCGTGCATGACTCGGAGGCTGTACTTTAAAAGTAAACTTGTTGGACACTTTTGATGGACTAGAGCTTGGCTCAGCGTGCTTTCTCGGACTGGGAGGGTAAGCCGCATGCCGTGGGCTCTGAGAGTAAGCCCTTTCCAGCGCCTCCTCCACGGAAGCGCTGCTGTCCGGCTCCGGGCCTGGCACATTGTCGTACTGTGACGCGGTGGAGCCCCGCTTCCCGTCCTCCACATCCAGAGCCTTCATCTTTGGCCGCGCATTTGACACCCGCACCTCGGCAGGGCCTGGGGCGGTAACCGCAAGCGTGGGGTGCGCGGCTCGACCTTTGCCTTCCACGGCATATTTTGCAGTTCTCTCCGTAGCTGAGATGTCTGACGGTTTATTCCATTTGGGCACAAATTCCTTCCTGATGTTTGAAGTGGCGTTGCTATTTTGGTTGGCAGCTGCGTGATTATATTGCCTGCAACTGTCCAGTGGACCTGATGGGAGTTTTCTTTGAAAATCTGCCTCATCTTTAAGCTTTTTGCTCTCCTCCTCCACCGATTTCCGTCTTGGCGGCCATGCTCTCTCCGGCGTCCCGGTCCTGCTCTGGGGGTGCGGCGAGTGCTCGTGCCTCTTGTGGGGCGCCCCGCTCTCCCTCCTGCTGCTGGTCTGCGGGCTCGGCCGGCCCACGCTCCTCTGTCCGTTGCTCAGGTGATGGACACTCCCAGACTGCAGCTCAGGCGGAAGCTGGCCCAAGGGCTTCTTTGGATATTCATCCTCTTTACCTGGAGAAAGAGAAAGGCTGAGTATATGAGGAAACCGAACCCATTATTCATGCTGGCATGCTTTCCACCGCGTGCAGTTACACTGACATCCGTTTATACCACATAGAGCCGGAAGCTGATGAGAGGTGTTTTTAGAGACTGACACTAAAACATACCAACAGTCACAATCCTACAAGGCCAAGTGTGGGTGGGAGTATTTCGTAACCTTATGCATAGGTTCCATACAATTGTATAACATGATTCTTAAATTTCGTTGACAAGTTGTTCATGCTTCCTCAAGCCTGCAAAGCTGATATTCTCATTTCTCCTCCTAACATGCAGGCCCGTAGTTCAGTGTCTCAACACTGTATTACTTTCACTTTAACCATCCTCAGCTCACTTCTATCAACTCCAGGCAGGTCTGCAAAATTTAAAACTCAACTGATGACCATCTGTGGTCTCAAAGTTGTCCCCAAATAGATTATTATTATTAAATACCCCCCACAGTACAATGTCCTGATCAAAAGAAAAAATTCTATCTGAAAGCTAACATTCTAAAAGCTAACTTTTTTTGCATTTTGCTTTAAATGTAAAAGAAAAAAATGAACTTTAAAAAGTCAGGTTGGATACTATCAGTTTTATATTTTCAATAATTAGCAGAAAATTCAAGAGGAATTAAAGGAAAGTATAACAGAGTGGCCATTTAGCACACAGTGCTTAAAAAGTTATCTTTTACAATATGTGTATTTAATAAACAGCATATTGAAGAAACGACAGACTTCACTTAAAATTCCATGTTTACCTGTTTCTACAGAATCATGTATTGTCATTTTAAAATGCTGTTTTGCTCTTTTCAAATACCCACCCCTCCACCCATCTAGAAATCTTCACTGAGTAAGCCTGTGGCAGGGACCTCAGCGCTGAGCATAAGGTGTGGTCTTTTTTTCCACGTAGCTTACAGTCTTGATGACGATCATTTTGTCACTTATAGACATTATTAAGTGATCTTTTTGGGGAAAGAGGAGGGAACAGAGAATTATGAAGAAACAATATCCTTTAAATACTTAAGCTATCAGAATCACTGAGCTAAAACAACCTTTGTGCTCTTCTGATTCAGTAGTTTTTAAGCTTTTAAAAGCAGACTTGTTTTTTTCAAACCAAATTTCATATGAAACTTCAATATATAAAAGAAAATACACAAAGCTGCTTGAGTTAGAGTTGGAGGGTGGGTGGGTCCAGGGCTCCTCCCAATGAAAATTCAGTATTTTCATTCCGAGTTCACTCTTCTCTTCCCCTGTGCCATTTTCATGAAGTCCCAGAGAAACTTTTGATGGTTTCAATGAAACTTTAACAATGTTTACACAAGCTCTTATTTTATACATATGAAAGCATTAAAAAGTGTGAGAATTGGCAATTACACTTTGTTTCAGCTCATTCATCTATTCAGCAAATATCTAAAGCAACTACTGTGCACCAGACCCTGTTCTGGTTGCCAGCAATACAGGAATGGAATGAGGAAGGTGACATCCCTGTCCTTCTGGAGCCTACAGTCTAGTTGTACAAAGTGCCATGAAGAAAATTAAACTCAGAAACTGAGTACCAGCAAGAAGGCGGCCCTCTGAGCTTGGGCCTTGAGGTGGGGACAGGCAGACACACGCAGGGCCTTGAAGACTGCGGGGAGGAACTGGGATTTTATTCCAAGTTAACTGTAAAATACTAAAGGCTTTTCAGCAGAAGAATTACATGACCTGATGTCTATCTTGGATCACTTTAATGGTGGGTGGGATTGAGACTGTGGTAATACTGAATGATGATGACACCAATGGCTGATACTCACCAGGTACTCATTGCGTGTCAGCCACTGATCAGAAAGCGGTACCTGTAAGGCCTAAAACAGGCAGATAGTGCAAGTCTCTGCTATTTTCCCATATTTTGATGGGAAAATGGAGGCAGAAATTTTTAACCTGCCCAAAGGCTCACAGCTAGCAAGTTACAGATCCAGAATTCAAACCCTGAGCTGATTCAGAGCCACCTTTGCTCTTCCTCCTACACTGTGCCACTGTGGAAGCAGTGAAAAGTTGCTTCTTGGATAATTTTTAAGGCAGCGTTCACACAACTGCTCAATGGGCTAGATTCAGGGAGCAAGCAGCACACAGTATGACTCCTGGCCTAAGACAGCCAGAGGCAGATCCTACTCTAAAACAGCTGGCAGAAACCATGTTGTTCCTATACCTGTTGGTAAGAAAGATATTTTATAATATCTGGACCAATTCTTTTAACTGACAGCCCAATCTTTAAAATGTTTATAATTCTGAAAAGTTTTCTTGGCTTTATTAATGTGTATGTGAAATAACCGTGAAATGCCAGGAATGGAGAAACAGACTTTAAACATTGCCAAGTCAAGAATACTCCAAGTAGCTATTCAGCCCATCAAGCTAAAAACAAGCAATAAAAATAAAATTAAAATGTATCCAGAATCCTCCAAAAGTTTTTTTCTATCAGCTCTACAAACAGTCATCCATTTAGTCACAGATAAATATATGAATGCCTTCTTCCCTGTGGGCAAATAATCCCAACAAACACAAATTATCAAGAAGATATAAAGACGTATATCATAGAAAAAGTGAATTAATAAACATTCCTTTAGTTCTCACCTGTCTGACAGTTTTCTAAGGGCAGAACACAGTAATCTGACTGGCTAATTCAACAGCTGGCTGATATTCCATCAGATAATAGTATCAGCCACTCATCAAAACATCCTTTTCAGGTTAGCAAGAAGAAACCTGATGAAAAACATAACCGTTAAAGAAAAGGAAAACCGTGACTCCTAGAGTGGCGAATGCACGCCTGAAGATGTGTTGTCACCAGGGCAAAACTGGATTAGCTGCAGAGACTGTCACGCTGAGCCCTGGAAGCTGCCTCACTTCCCTACCACTCAGTGGCTTTTGACAGCCTGCAGAGGGCCACCAACTTTTTAGCTCACACAAAATAATTTAAAATGTCTTTAAAATTCTCCATAGCAGTATTTAAAACACAAACAAAATCGAAAAAGGAAGAGATTTTCAGCTGGTCTGCTATCGCGCCTGCGCGCACTCTCCTCACAACACGCTCTGGCGGCAGAAGCACCAACGCTGCTCTCAGCGCTACCTGCAGGTGCCCGGACTCTGTTTTTCATGTTTTAGTCTGTACCAATCCACAACTAATGCAAACTCAATTCACCTGACATTAGGTGTTTTGAGTTCTACATCCCCAGTCTCAAAACTGGATGGTTTTAAATAAATTTTAGGAACTGCCTTTTTCTGTTCGCAAAAAGCCACCTGCCTCATTACTTGTGAGCGTTTGCTTCTATGGTCCTAGGCCATTTTCACTATCAACAATGCAACAAATTACAGTGATTATAATAATTTTATACAACCCCATCAAAAAAACAAGTGGGCAAAGCAAATGTGAAAGGTAGACACAGGCAGTAACAAACCTATAGGGGATCTCGAGTTTCAAGACTGCAGTTTTCTATGTCTTGTGTCACCAAATGATTCCTGAGAATGGTCAATTGGGTTTGCCTTCATTATGCTTTCCCTAGACACTCAGCTATTGCTATTTACTGATGATAATCAAGTACAACAATACACCTTTTAAATGTGATCACCGAAACTTTAAGCCACATTCTAGGTTTGAACTAACTAAGAAGGGTGATTACTGCTCTCATGCTGAACACTGCGGTGGAAAATGTATTAGCTGTCTGGCAGTCACACTGTCCAGTGGTCCCTTTAGAGACAATGTTTCCCAAATGCTGTTAAGCTGTATGTCTCCACGGGACAGTGGGAATAGCAGGGTTGACAGGAACATACTGAAGATGCTTAGGAAGTGGTAGCTGCTATTGCTCTACACAGTCACGCGTCACTTAATGGTGGGCATATGTTCTGAGAAATAAGCTGTCAGGTAATTTCATCATCGTGTGAACGTCAGAGTGCACTTACACGAACCTGGATGGCAGAGCCTACTGCACAGCGAGGCTCTATGACACAGCCTAGTACTCCTCAGCTACAAACACATACAGCATGTTACTGTACTCAACACTGCAGGGTCAGTGGGACACAATGGTAGGTATTTGTGTAACTAAAGATAGAAAAGGGATAGTGAAAATATGATACTTTCATCTCATGGGGCCAGCATCCTATATGCAGCATCCACTGTTGAAACTTTATCATGCAGCGCATGAGGGTAGTTGTTTTCAGATAGGTTTAAAGTGCTGATTCCTATCCCAATTTATCTTTGTTAATATTACATTAATTATACCTCCCATGTGACACCATCCACAAATCCAACACCATGCTACCAGTGCTTTCATCTAAGTGACTGGTAACAAGTACTGAACTAATGGCCGGGCGCGGTGGCTCACGCCTATAATCCCAGTACTTTGGGAGGCTGAGGCGGGTGGATCACAAGGTCAAGAGATCGAGACCATCCTGGTCAACGTGGTGAAACCCCGTCTCTACTAAAAATACAAAAATTAGCTGGGCATGGTGGTGCGCGCCTGTAGTCCCAGCTACTCGGGAGGTTGAGGCAGGAGAATTGCTTGAACCCAGGAGGCGGAGGTTGCAGTTAGCCGAGATGGAGCCATTGCACTCCAGCCTGGGTAACAAGAGCGAAACTCTGTCTCAAACAAACAAACAAACAAAAAAAAAAACCAAGTACTGAACTAAGAACAAAAATGGAGCACCCTAACTTCTCTAAAATGTAAATAACTCTCAAAGAAAATGAAGGATGCTCTACATAGAAAATTAAGTAAAGAATATGAACAGGAAACCCAAAGAAGAAAAGAGCAGGTAAATGTATCACAAGTTATCCAGAAAATACTTCTGAATTGGTATATCTCACTGCTGTGGGCTTGGAGAAACAAATTCTCCAATTTGACAATACATACTGAAATTTTTGATCTAGGAATTCCACCTCTGAGAATTTATGCTAAGACAATTAAGGGATATGCAAAATGCCTGCTATAAGGATGTTCAAAACTGCAC